CACTCTGCTTCTCAAAGGATCTGCTTACTATACCAAGGGCCACCCCCAGAGCCTCAGATGTTACCTCCACCTGCCTCCAGTCCTGGGGTGGGGCCCAGCCCTCTAGTAGGCAAGCCACCTCAGACCACATACCCACTGGGGAACAGTCAACTGTCTCCCCATTCATGGAGGCAGCCACATGAAGCACCCCTCCCATAAGGGCAGCTTGTTCTTTTCTTTGGTCAACAATGAATCCTGTTGATGTTGTCAATTGTCTTGCCAATGGGTTTCAGCCCCTGCAAGTTCACTATCAATTAAGTGAGACTCAGGAATGACAACGGAATGTTCTTGGGGTGAAAGGGTTTATTATCCAGCTTCTTCTCCCAGTGATAGGTTGAGCACTAGAATTATATCTGTGTCCAATAGTCAGCAGGTCTGTAATCCTCCCTCATCTCCGCCTCTATGCAGAGCACTGGGCGGAGCTCTTTATATAGTGACTCAGTCAATAACAGCTAATAGCCTGTGAGTGTGGAAGCTGTAGCCTAGCAGTAGGCTAGTTACATCAAGTAGTTTAGGTTCAGGTGAGGATTCTGGCCATAGGAACCTTCACTTTATCCTCACCTGGCTTTCCATATTCATCTCCACATGGACAAGGAAACTGAAGGTTTACATTGTGCCTCATTTCTAATTCTTGGTGTTTAGATGGTACTTTTAAAACAGGATAAAATGGTTCTTCATTGCATATATTAGGTTGATCCACATGGACCTACCAGTTTTGTTGGTAAAAAAATAATAATCAAATATTGACAGTTCTATATGGTTCAATCTAATAATTCTATTCTCACTTTGCCCACATGCTGTATGGGTTTGTTTTTCCCTAAGTGCTTTCATATTTCTATTTCTGATTGTAAAGCTCTTTCTCCTTACTTTATCCATCTTATTCCTTCCTTTAACATCTTGGTTAATCACTCATCCCATGCTGACCTAGCATTTTCTGGCTAATATGTCTGCATTCTTCTCTAACTACAGGCATATTTTATTTCCTCTGTGCCTTTCACAATGTAGGCCCTACACAAATATTTGTCATAAGGCTGAATTACATATCTGAGGATAAGTCACTGAGGGTCTGAACCCCAGTTTCCTTCCTAGGACAGAAGATGATCCCTGTCTAGCCAAGAAAATGCAATTGTTGAAAGTGGGCTTAAAACAATCAACAGTAAAGCCTCCAGGTTGTTCTGCTGGTGGGGTGTTTGAAAATGTTATATGCTAAGTGATAGGCAATCTACTTTCAGCTCAATTTCAGGAAGGAGTGGATTCTTCCCAGCCAAAGCAATTTCAAAAGACCCTTCTGGTTGACAGAGTAAAAGAGAATGTTGATCACAGAGGGAAAACACATAGTTAATGAGAACAGACAGAGTCATCACATTAAAGAGAAAGAGCTGCTGTGTGGAACAGTCACCCCCTGTACCTAGGAACACAGGCACACAGTGCTTGACAGCATGAACTGGAGGAAAACAAAGGCTGCACAGCCTAAAGACTATGCTGTGTGCACAAATGAAGAACTTTCGGGAAATAATTATAAGAGCATTGAAGCAAGAGGAAGAGGAAGGGAGAAGGGAGGCAGGAAGGGAGAAGTGAGGGCTAAGATCATGGGACACACAGGACAGAACCACAAGTGCTGAGAGAAGAATCTAGACTAGTCAGAAAGGGGCAGACCATTCCCTTGGACACACTAGTTAAGGTGTTACATTGGTTTCCTAACTAGGGGAAGCTAGAGAAGAATAGTAAGTGTGTAATTTTAGGCAAGTTGCTGAATCTTACTTATTTGAAAAAGTAGCACTGATAGTGCCTATCTTATAGGGATAATGTAAACACTAAATATTACATATGAACACACAAAGTGCCCAGCACATAATAACTATGTAATATGGACAGCCTTATTACTCAAGTATTGTTTGGGAAACTATATGGTCTGTCATTCTCAACTAATCCTTTCACTGTCTCCATGAATTCTCCATGTGAAGAACTCTCCAAGGAGACTCATGAACTATATACATTTAACCGGTCTCACACACACACATACACACAAATCAATCAGTAAGCTGAATGCCTTAAAACAACAGTGTCCAAAAGACATTTCTGTGAAGACGGAAATATTCTGTATTTGCACTGACCAGTATACTAACCATTAGCCTGTGAGAGTACCGAGCTCCTAAAAGACCTCCTGCAGGGGCCTCAGTGGCCTAGTGGGTCTCTGCATCAGACAGCCTGAATCTGCCTCTTAGAAGCTGAATTTTGTTAGGCAAGGTACTCAGCCTCCCATGCCTTGGCTTCATCCTTAGTAATATGAGATTGATAATAATATCACTGTAGTGAATCACAAAGATTAAATGAGAGAATACATAGAAAGCAGTGGTTCTCAAGGTTTAGATGCATTGGAATCACCCAGAAGCTGTTACAACACAGATTACTGGATTCATCCCCAAAGGTTTTGATTCAGTGGGTCTGGGGCAGAGACAGAAAATTTGCATTCTTAATCAATTTTCAGGGGGTGCTCATGCTGCTGGCCAGGGGACCATACTTGGAAGACCATTTATAAGACCTGTAGTATGGTACCTGGTATGTGTGAGAATTCAATAGTGTTTGTTTTATCATCAGCATCTTCATGGTGTACATCAAGGTTTCTGGAAAAAAAAAAACCTGTACCTTATTAGGGATCTCTAGCCCATTTTCTTTTTTTTTTCTTTTCTTTTCTTTTTTTTTTTTGAGAGGGCATCTCTCATATTTATTGATCAAATGGTTGTTAACAACAATAAAATTCTGTACAGGGGACTTAATACACAATCATTAATCAACCCCAAGCCTAATTCTCAACAGTCTCCAATCTTCTAAAGCATAACGAACAAGTTCTTACATGGTGAACAAGGTCTTACATAGTGAATAAGTTCTTACATGGTGAACAGTACAAGGGCAGTCATCACAGAAACTTTCGGTTTGGATCACGCATCATGAACTATAAACAATCAAGTCAGATATGATTATTCATTTGATTTTTATACTTGATTTATATGTAAATCCCACATTTCTCCCTTATTTATTTTAAATAAAATGCTGAAGTGGTAGGTAGATGCAAGATAAAGGTAGAAAACATAATTTAGTGCTATAAGAGGGCAAATGTAGATGATCAGGTGTGTGCCTACAGACTAAGTATTAATCCAAGCTAGACAAGGGCAACAAAACATCCACGGATGCAGAAGATTTCTCTCAAAACAGGGGGGTGAGGTTCTAAGCCTCACCTCTGTTGATACCCAATTTCTCACCTGATGGTCCCCCTGCGACTGTGCCTGTCTTAGGTTGTTCCTCCCTTGAGGAATCTTACCCGTCTCTGCCTAACCAGCCATCTTCCGGTCTAGCCCATTTCCTGACATTATTTTGATAAATGTTTATCAAGCACCTACAAAGGGAAAAATATCCCTTCTGTATTCCAAGAGACAGTCTGTCAAGGAGGGCTTGGAGTAGGTACAGCTACAGAGCACCAAGTAACCTGACCATCATCACTACCAAGTGAAATGACTTTCATCATTTCAACTCTCCACAAGACACAGAAAATAAAAAGATCGCCTTTTGAGGTGAGCCACAAGCTAGATTTCTCTCTAATTCTTCTTGATAAAAATGATGTTCTGAGGCCTGTAAGTGGTAGGTGGAAAAGATGTGAAAACACATCTAGGCTCTTGACACTTATATCAACTTCCTGAGATCCTGGGTACATCCCTCAATCATGGACCTGGATTTTGGACTTGATGAGCTCTCAAGTCACTTTCAAAAACAACAGCAGGATCCTCACAAACCCAACCTCACCTGTGCAGGGATTTACTCCTTGGAAATTATCATAAGTCATCTAGTTTTTCTCCTCTGAGATTCTTTCTGTGGTCCCTTTAGTTCTTTGGATAAAAGGTGTTGGAAGGGGATTAAAAAAAAAGCCCAAACAGACAAAGACAATTGGCTTGATAGAGTCATCTTTAATTTTGTCATTTTCTAGTATTCATACTATGGTTCCTTTGGAAAAAAAAAAAAAAAAAAAGCCTTGATGAAAATATGCCCCAAGAGAGCCTCTAGGACTATAGACACCATTCCAGGAAGAGATCCAAAAAAGGGTCTTTCAATTTGGATTCTGAAATATAGTATTTTATGTTATTTATATCTGTTCTAATAAAGGACCACTCAGTCTACTTCCTTCTCTTAAGAAACATGAGTTAAAGTTCTTTGCAAATATCCTAGTCTCTTATGTGAAAAGGGTGAGGATTGTTCCTACAGGTAGAAAACTTATAAACAATTTCTGTTTCAAAATCAGTCTTACTAACAGGTCCTGATATGGTAAATCAGGATTATCTTTTCCATTTTCAAGAAGTGCAGAGAAGCTGGCTTTAGAGTGACTGATTACTTAGAGAGACTGGGACAGAGGCGAGATGAGAAGCTCCCACTTACTAGAAAAATCTGATTTGTCAGGTCTCACTACTATTGTAATCTGGCAGAATATACTTTCAACTGTCTCCACAATAAGCATAGGAAACAGAACTTGGGACCTGAGTCGGGGATTTTGAGGAGCAAATGTGATCAAGTTTGGCGGAAGCCAGATTTGAAGCAGGCAGCTATTTGTCAAATTGCTAATATAAGCAGTATCAGTGGTTCAGGTTGTATTTTCAGTACTCACCTTCAAAATAGGAATATCTGGAGTCTCCCACATGCTGTCTCTCCGGGTTTTGTGCTGATGAAAAAGCACTGTTCTCAGGAGTAAAGGTTTTAATCTCAGATTTGCTTCTTACTTCCTGAGTGATACCATACAAGCTAACTGTACTTTCTGAGCCTCACTTTCCTCAGGTGTAAAATGGAAATTCCTCTTTTGCATATTTCACATGGGGTTGGTGAGACTCAACTGAGAGATGAATACAAGGAAGTATTTATTAAGAACAGCATCCAGGGACCTGTGTATAATAAATAAATCAAGCTGAAATAAAGCAATCTTCTCATAAGATTGTATCATGTATTTCTGAAATAAAGAAAAAAAAAGCTGGAACAGTCAGTGTGGTCTAAAGGGGAACAAGGTAAGCAGTTTAAATACATTAAAGCAGGTGCCATCTCAGTGACAAATGAGTGATGGTAATCAACTTATTTTTATAAGATCTGAATACAAATTGGTCCAAACGACATGCCAAAGATTGTAAGGCTAAGACCTCTCATACTACTTTTTAAAAGAGTTAAGATAAAGTGAGCACCTGAGCTAGTACATACTCCACAGAGAGACACAAATGATACACTCACTTGCTAAATTACTGTTAACTGCCCTCAGATTTACATAGATAAATTCAGGTCAAGGAGTGTGCCTCAAACATTTGAAGATTCAGGTGGCTGTATGTTCTCCGTTTTGTTTGTTTTGGTTACAGCAGTTGCTGATTGGGATTTAACACTGTTGTATTTGAAGGCTACAAATCTTATTCATCAAATGAAACCAGTGATTATGTGTACCAAATTAAATGTCCCCAAACAATAATTTTTTGCTTGTGAAGAAAGCTGCCTTTATTGGAGTGCACTGACCACAAGACATGAAAGCCTTTTCATGGTTAGTCGATTAGTGGCAACATCCTAGAGAAACCCCACCAATTTCTTCACCTCCTGGCACACAGGATATGCTAATTCTTTGGCTTTAACTGACCCAACTCGTAAAACCTTCTCTAAGTGGCCTTTGTCCATCTTCAGCTTTTCAATTTCACTCTTAATTGGAGCAAATTTCTCAATCACAGCATCTGCCACCACCAGCTTGTAGTGTGCAGTGTCCATGCCAGCACTGTGGCGGACCACTTCCTCCACAGAGAGTCCTGTCACTGCGGCATGAATGGCAACCAGGTTGGACACACCCCTGCGGCTGTCCGGGTCGTAGGTGACCTCCGAGGTGAAGTCCGTCACAGCCTTGCGGAATTTCTGTACTATCTCCTCTTGGCTGTCTGTTATTCTGACAGTGGCCAGTTTATCAGGATCTGATTTTGACATTTTGACAGAAGGATCACGGAGGGATTTTACCTTCTTCATGGATGCTAGGTAAAAACACCCCAGGCACATGTCAAAAACAAAAACAAAACAAGAAAACATGAACAATATTAAAAAAAATCACCAGGAATGTCAGTATTTAGACCTTAAAAAGTGCCAAGAATACTGACTTTATTATTTTTATCTGGTATATTATCTCTATTATGTTATATTCATACTATATTTATTTTGTAGTATACTTATACATATTATTTCTATTTGAATATATAAATATGAAATACTGTGAAAAATTCAAGCAATTTATGTAAGCATGAAAGTAAAGGTCATCTGAAATATGTATATATAATGTATAACAAAATGTATACATTTTGTTAATCACATTTTCTTGCACCTTTCAGTGAATACATACACATAAAAATATATAATCTTACACAAATGAAATTATATCATATAGTTTTTCCTGTGTATCACAAACCAGTGTTATTAATAATTGCCCATTTTATGGCTATTACGGAAACATAAAGTTTAAATAGGTAAAATAGTAATAGGCCAAAACATTAACATACTTCTTATTCCTAAAAGAAGGTTGACTTCAGTGCATGGGGTACCCTGAATTTGTGTGAACTGTTGGAATGACTTAGAAATTATACCTGCCTTATGCTTCTAACTTGATACTTGGCACATGTTATCCCCTTTAAAATGCTGTCAGCTTAATGAAGACAGACAGAGATTAGGTTCCATGAAGCTTGCCCCTGCCATACATTTACACTGCTACCAAAATATTGATAGAGATTTACAACTTCTTTCCTCAAGAAGATTCCAGACTAGCACAGCCTTGAAAGTTGCAGTTGAGGTTTCAGATTCAGTAAGTAGATTGTATATTCCATCTTGGCTGTACATTTAAGAAGTCGGAGTGTAAGAATTACCAATTTCTTATTTTATCTAGATTGATTCAGCAGTTCTCTTGTGCATTTAGTTTTATTGTGACTAGGGAAGGCAAGGTAAACTGGTTTTGAAATCAAAGAGCTTAATTGTAGAGCTCAGCTTTGCCACTGTCTACATACACAACTCGGACGTAGAATCAGCCTTGCCATGCCTTAGTTTCCTCATCGATACAATAGGGAAGAACACCTGTTCTACCAAGTGAAACGTATTTATATATATATATTTTTCATTATAAAGTATTATATAATTTACCTTATATAAACTATATATATATAAACTAAAAAGAACCATTTTCTTATATACTACTTTATAATGAAAATGGTTATTTTTAGTTTTTAGTCTCTTCTATACTTTTCTATTTTGGTTATTTTATTCAATAATCCAATGAAGTGTACCAGTCCTACATTACAGAAAAATATGGAGATTCTGGTTACAAATCCTGAAGACTGTCCATGAGAAAGCCAAGTTTAGACCCAAGAAAGTTCCAAGCCTTGGTCCATTATCCAATCTTCTTTTCAAAACACACCTTGATTTAATACTCTTACGTTTGTTACTTACTTAGGATGGATTTGGGCACTGGGAAGAACTCCCCATACTTCTTGTTAAATCCTCGTGCTAGATCCTGAACTAGCTCCATGTGCTGGACTTGATCTTCCCCGACAGGAACGTGTGTGGACCTTTAATAAAAGCCAGACAGAAAAACTCAGCAAGGCTCCTGCTTATACTGCAACAATATTGCAAGCAGCTGCATTTCCCGTGCCTATTTCACTGTTGGGTGTTCAACAAATGTTCACCAACTACAGAGGGAATGTCGAGACCTAAGTCTTTACCTGTGTATCGGACTAATGCCAAAGAGACGTTTGTCTACTCTAGTTCTGTTTCTTCCATAGCGGAAGAATACAGCCATCAACACCAGTGTGATAGGATCTTGTGGGGAAAGAGAAATGGTATCTTAAATAGCATATGCTCTAAGCACAGCTGTATTTTAAAACCACTCCTCAGTACATATTATCCTAGCCTTGAGCAGACGGTTTTTACTTCAGAGCTTGTGCTCACACTTGAAAGATACTCCATCCACTCTTCAAATCAAAGATGGCAGAAGGTTCTTCAGGAAAGAATTTTTTCTCCCTGTTATACAGGGAATAGCTCAAGGTCTTTCTGGAATACGTGCCTACATTTTCAAGTAAATTGCAATTACAGGACAATGAATATGCTGCAGAGAAGTTAATGAATAAAATCTATCAGTACAAAGTAGACGGATCTCAAAAACAATGTTGAATTAAAAAAGCAAGTTGCAGAAGACATGTACAATACACTGACATTCATGTAAATCTTAAAAGTGCATATGAGCATACAATATATAGTTTACAGATGCATATATAAATACAAAAACTCCCTAGAAGCTCCTCCACAAACTCAGGGCAGAAGTTGCCTCCAGAAAGGAGGAAAGAGAATGGGTCTGGAAAAGGAACAAAGAAGATCAGGATTTTATCCTGTGATATTTTATTTAAATATAAAGATGTGAAACAAAAACTATCAGGATATAGGGATTTTATTTGTAATCATTTTAATACCATATGTAAATTTTCAATGTTCGATCACAATGAGGTCTGTCAACAAGGGGCGTTAACAGCTATAGAAAGTCTTGATGGGAAAAACTTTATACAGGTATCCCCTGCTCTTCAGGCATTTGTTAAGCCATTTTGCTTTTATGAAAGACCTACATTAGCAACTGTTTTCGCTAGCGTGAAAGAAATACAAAGAGTATTTTCACTTTCATGAAAAAAGGTGAACAGCAAACAGCATTCAGCGTTGGGGTTGCAGCGAGAGCCATTAAACAGGCAGCGCGCACCCAGCACAGCCAGCGGCACTGCCACGCCCCTTCCCTGGAACCACACTGGGCGCCTCTCAGCGTCAATCCGCCCTAGCTTTGAACTGTGTGAGCAATCTGGGCTTTATCTCGTTTTATTTGGTGCATCCTAAGGTATCAGAAAAACCCGAGAGGTTATTTTTTTGGGGTCTGGCAACGCTCAAAGAATTTTCCATTAAATTAATTGGTGCTTTGCTTTATGCCATTTTGGCTTATGAAAGTTTTCATAGGAATGCTCTACTTTTGGATAGCATTCTCCTCGTTTCCTCCCTGTAGTTAAATATTACGGGCAGGAGATGGGTGGTTTTAGTTCTTTAATGCTTGGTTGAGGAGTTTACATTTGATAATACAGTAAGTAAAGTGCTGTAGTTTCTTGATCAAGGAAATTTAATGTCCTGTGAAAACAGCATCCTTAACGTGAACTTGGATATTTCCATGGTACCTGTACGTTCTGACTGGAAAAATAACAGCTTTACAAATCAGCCACAAAAAAGGAAAACTGCTAGAAAACTATGGCACTTTACTATAGAGAGGAGAATCTCCTAGCCAAGTAGTTAATTAGTGGTTCTTGAAAAACTGGAAGAGATCTTCTTATTTTCCTGTTAATTACTCTCCACAGACTACTGGTCCATTTAATAAAATTGTCTAGAGCATAGGAATTGATGTTAGTTTTGACTAGTGTAAAGACAACCACTATAATAAAATACTTGAGAACATTTTGAAAAATTTGAAATATCCCTGCAATCATTTTTTTTGCAAATTACTTTCGTCTTTGTTGTCTATATAGATGCATATTTTTTATATATGCAGGCCATCTTTTATGTTAACATAAGACACTTCCCATGTTTCTTTGTGTTCTTCATTAATAGAATTTTAATAGCTTGCGTAAGAATGTTCCATTACTACAGTTAGAGAACCATAAGGAACTTATTTTATGGCAGATTCTTTTGAATATTCATATAGTGGGAAATTTTGATTTGAGTAAAAAAATTATTTCTTACAATAACCCAAAAGTCCTGTGGAGACAAAGCTGGTGAATGAATGTTCAATGCTTTCTGGTCAAAACAAGGTATGACTGTCAGTTGATGAAACTTGTATTTGTATCATAAAATATTCTGTATATATATCCAAAAGAAATGCTGATAAATGTTTTGATTATAGGCATTAAGAATAGGTTTCAAAGTAACTCTTTGAAACTTCTTTTGCACTTAACTAATAAAAAGAAATAAAATATATTTATTAAAAATCCCTGAAAATTAGCTATATTTTCACATGGTCCCTCAAACACAGTTGTGTGTGTGTGTGTGTGTGTGTGTGTGTGTGTGTGTGTGATACAGTATAGCATTTATTTAAGAGCATAGGTTTTGGGGTCAGGTTAGCTTCAAATTCCAACTCTGCTACTCTCATTTTGTGTGATTTTGAGTAAATTATAGAATATCTATCATAGGCAACTTTCCTACTGTAAAATAGGAGTAATAATATTTACCCTATACTATTGTGGTGGAGATGAAATAGGACAATGCATATAAAGTGCTTTAGCACAGTGCCTGAAATTTGGTATGTCTTCAAATGATATCCACAAAATAGAATTCTAAAGTGGTATATTGTATCTCAGAAAGCTGCTTAAGACACACTCCCTATACAAGTAGAGTTTCACTCCTTACCTGACTCTGATTCCAAAATCTCTCTACCTTGGCCAAAAGGAGGGCAGGTTGTGAGAGAAAAGAACGCTAGGGTCATCATGTTACTATTAACGAAGTAGATAGTTAAGAGCTGATGTATATTTATTTACTTATGAGTAAATTTTCAAAGGAGAATAAAAAGAAAACAGTATCAGCACAGAGCAATGTGTTGGCTTATTTTTCTCCTTTTGTCCCCCAGGTGTTGACACTGCTAAAAACATTGTCTTGGCTCTCTGGTTCTTTCCCACCATTGAGGAGCTTATTAACTTCCACATGAGGATCCACATATCTCTAGTCTGATTTCTGAGGTCTCTAGCTCTGCCATCTCTTGAAGGATTAGGATTGTATCTTTGCCTTCCTACTAGAAAATGGCACTAAATATCCCACATTTACTCCCAAACTCAACACTGAAGAATCAACATTCCAGTTTTGAAATGATGTGGGCATTGTGTCTAAGACAACCTGTCTCAATTTCTTACTAACATACCCATGAAGACAGAGAAAATATAAATAACTGAAAACCAGCATCAAGAGTTAAAACTAAGGACAGAATTTGAGAAGACTATCCATTGACTGTGAAGATCAATAGAACTGAAATAAAAAGAGTAACTGAGCTTCTTGTGGTATCTACTCAGAGCAAATGTTCCATTGCTGGAAACCTCTCCCAACTGGGGATAAGGGCAGACAGCCTTCTACTGCAGCCAGAGTGATGCTAACCCTTTTCTCCTCATCAGCCTGATTCTGTCCACATTCAGTCATGACAGCAGTTCTCAGAAAGTAACAGACAAGCAGTGGAGGCAGCAGGAACTGGTCACAGGGCAGTGTATTCTCATAAGAGTGAGAACATAAATCCTATGAGCACAAAGATTTATTTGTCTTGCCCCTACTGTGCCCCAGGACATAGAATGTTTTCTGGTGAGGGCTAGGCAGCAATCAAGGAATATGTGTTGAATAAATGAATGAATGAAAAAGTAAAGATGAGAGACTAAAGCAGGATAAGACCAGAGAGCAGGTATCCTGGTGACCGTTCTTTTTCATGTAACACATCTATTTAGAGAGTGAAAGAGCCAGGCAGGCAGTAGGAGAAAACTCCATCTCAGGCCAGCAGTAAAGTTGAGTGACACAGGCAATCACATTAAGAGTGCAGCACACTGTTCTGAACAGGAAACTCAGCTGGCATCCAGGTAGTCAGAAACCAGAATGCAAGGGCCTTTTGTAGATTTTTGTCTATTGGCAAATACCATTTCAGGATTGTTATCTTGTTGCCATATGGATTTTAAAAGCCCAACACATAAAAATTGGACAAAAAAACAAGTAAAAGACCCCAAAGTGGGGCATATAAAAATACTGTGGGACCAGGAAAAGGAAACTTTACCCTTCAGACCCTGAGGAAGATGTAAAATGAACTTCTACAAGAATAGATAGTTCATTTTGTTTTTTAAAGAAAACTGCTTCATGACTTCAATAGGATTCAAAAAAGACAAGGCTGTTATACAACAAGGGCAAGAAACCACAAAAGGAGAAAAATACAGGTGGTGACAGGAAACAATACAATGAACAGAAGTGAAATAGAGAAAGCCTAACACAAAATGGAAGAATCAAGAACAGTGAGAAGAATCCTAAGGACAGGTCTGATTTAAGGTGACAGTCCTCCTAAAGGAAGACCTCAGGACCATCTGAACAGAGCAAAACCTAAAACTGAAGGAAACTTCAAGGAGTCAAACACAAACAAGTAAGCAAACAAAACTGAGTATGAGTGTGGAGGGGCTCAACAAGTTTCATGAGAAAACACTAGAGACTCACACCAAAACACAGCCCAGAAAGAATTCTGAATTATAAGGTTAAAGAAAATGTCCTATATGCCACAGTCAGAAACAAAAACAAAAATAGGGAAAACAGATTAATAATACAACAATGGAACAATGTTTACAGGATTGAGAGAAAAAGGTAGTAAAAACCTAGCCAAGCTATCTTCTATGTGTGAACTATAATAACTGCTATAATGATAATAAAGTAGATAACAGCAATTGAATAAACACTTCTTATTTATTGTACATTTTGCTAAGTACACTTTATGCATTATTATGGTACATAATCCCTTTTTAGAGATGAAGCATGTCAAACA